GGACTAAATGCACATGGCTGACACTGAGAACTCAGCACGGATACATAAACTAACTGCGGACAAGAGGGACAACATGCTATTTCCATTCTACAATACCCCTGGCTGGTGGGTTTGTTCATGCTCCTCACTATTGACCTATACAGTACATATGACCTGGAAGTGATGTTTGATCAGCCCTAAACTTCATGTCTTCTGGGAAGTGGGAAAATTCAGGAACACCTGGCAAAAACCCATGTGAATTTGAGGATGTAAACACTATACAGAAAGGCCCCTAGTTGCAACCAGGACACCGGACTTGTGAGGCCAGAGTGTTAACCACTATACCACTGTGCACACATCGCTAACTAAGCCTCCCATTACCAAAGCCTTTCATTTACTGTGACACAGCAACAGCAATTAATTGCATTTGGTTTTTATTGTGCTTTTGATGTGTACAGTCTGCATTTCAGCTGCATGACTGTTTCCTTCTCAGTCTTTCCTGTATTGTCTTTAGGGTGGATTTAAATTGTACTATTGTATCTTCTCACCTGTATTGTGCTTCCTATTTATTTACACTGAAGAACTGTATTCCTGCTTTGTTTGCCTGTCAGATCTACTTTAAACAGAGACAAAATTCCAGATAAATCTCCATCAAATGAAGAGCCACAACATATATACTGTACAAGGCGCTGTTTTTTCACCACCTGTGCAAGGACATTGGCATCAGCTAAGCAATCCAAAATCAAACACAGCAGAAGGCACAACCAGGGCAGCACAACTGAACTCTGGCATCATGCAGGGCCTGATGCATATGCTTCGGCAGAAGGCTGATACTGCACAGATGTGAAGGTGTTGCGGAAAAAAAGTGGCTGGTTTCAGTACGTTTGGGAGAGCACTTTATAAGAATTTTGGGGCCTGTGTTTATGAAAGACGAAACAAAGTTTATTCAGTGAAGTGTCAGCATATTCTGTGCTCTGCCCTTGTTTGAACCCTACGTGACACGCGCTTTTCTGCTCCCCCTGTAAAAAATTACAATACAACATGCTAGCGTGGTAGTTTCCAGGCCTCTCTCTGCAGGTGATGGCAGACACTGCCAAAATTATTTTTTTCTCCCCTCCATCTTTCCCTTTTCTGTTTAGCCACTCATCCGCACCATTCAACTGGAATTTTCCATTCCCACTTCTCGAATCTGTCCAATGTATTGTCTTGCGCAATCCAACAGCATCACGTATGTCCAGGCCCAGCACCACCTCTCCTCCTGGCAGAGAGCTGTACTAACGGTGTGCACGCAGCCTACACGTCTGGTCAATGAATGCAGCGTGACGTCTTGTTCAACACAGTCACATATCAACTTCAATGCTGAAAGATTAGAATGACCACCCATGAAACGAGTGGGGAATCTCCAGCATGTTTCCCAACAGGCTATTCCACAACCACGATGCCTTCTGGTCAGGGCGTCACACAAGGCCATGCCTTGACATGGATGCCTACAGTACGTGCTTGTTCTTTTTCTTTGTTCGGCCTGAGCCATCGTCCATCCCGGCTTCCTAGGAAAGCCGGAGCCTGTCCCAGAAGCTTACAAGGCAGGACCTTCGGAGAGCTGTGCCACCCTGCTACAGTCCCACGACATTCGTGTCCAGGCCACTCTTGCTACTGAGCGGTGCTCAGGGCTTCGGGAAAAGGTACTGCCCCGCTGAAATCACGGAGCATTATTGGCCTGCAGAAATACCGATAAGATTCTGGGGTCCGTCTTTTGAGGGATGACGCATTCGGTGGGAAACTGCAGACGTAACTTCGTGCAGCAGCAGACTGTTCACGTGAGCTCTTGTAAAAACAAGGGGCTGACATCCTCCTGTGACGACAATACTAACAAGTGCAACACTCGCAGAACCCACCTCTTCCTTACCAACCATTAAACACACCGCTCGTCCGCCCTGCTGCCTAGACTGTTATAACTCTCTGTTAGCCATGTCCTCGACCTTATCCAGAATT